TTGAAATTTAGCATGAAATATTCTTCTATTAATGCTCCAGATTTGAGGACCTCCCTACACTAGAATGGCCCTGCTGGAGTAGGGAGGTTGGACCAGATGACCCATTGTGGTCCCTTCCAACCTGACTGATTCTGTGATTCTGGGTAATTAATCTGCAATGGGTATCACTTGCTACATGAAGTTCTGTCTTACTTTCAGGTATCTATGGAGTTTTCTTCATAGGTTTAGCAACACATGCACAAACTTGCTATCTTGGCCTTTCAACACACATGACAGAGGCAAGTATTAAAGTCTTCCAGTCTTTAGAGGCACAGTTTAGTTCCCCTCCCTTTCTAGTATTCTGAGATGCCCCATCTGCTGGTAAAGTGTCAGTCCAGAAAATTACACCCCTGAGCTGATAACTGGTGTTTTTTCAACTCTACCACTTGATGACTGGGTTTTTTTTAATGCAGTAATACACTAAAAGTTCAGATCAAATACTTTTTAAAAAACCCTATTATAAAATCCTCTAAAATAGTCCATTCATTCCTAAGTATGCAAGATGCTCATACAAAATGTTTCAGATGAGCTTCCCTGACTCTAGGCTATTCTTCAGTGAAGAGAAACTGAAAATATCAACTCATTTATTGCAAATATTTCAGTATTACTTATACTGATTCATAAAGATGATGTTAACTTGCATGTTGGTTAATCTGGGAGAACAAAAATGGAAGACTGTTCTTTTCTCCTGATTTAAACAGGATAAACACACATATTCACTAAGAAACCACATCATCAGTTCCACATATACATTTTAGATATATATCTGTGTGATATGAATGATTTAGTCATAGTAATTTAGACTGGAATAAAAAAATTAGGATCACTAATAAAGTAATGATACTAAACCAACTGTTTCTTCCTTCTCCATGCCAAGGAGGAAAAGAAAAAAAAGAGGAAAGAAAGAAAAATCCTTTCCCAGAAAGACAAATTCATAGTTCATGATGAAAAATTCAGGAGGAAAATATTTAAGTACATAAGAACAGATAAAATATGCAAAACTGGCTCAAAACTACAAAAATTGCATACAACTCCAGATCTCTGGTTTAAGCACAACTTAAACCACCACAGTCATATTGACTCTCAGTTCTGAGAAATCTGCAGTAATATTGGACTCTTCAAAAGATAAATGTCTTAATGCATAGGCTGAATTACAAGGACTGAATCCCAGACATTTATGCATAACAATATTCAGTTATTCACGTGGCTAACTGAAAATACAGAGTTTTGAGGCTCTGGATTACTTGCTCTATCTGACCATATAGGGATATTAGGCTTCTAATTGTGCTTTGAGTTTTACCCAAACCAGACGTTGAAAGTAAATCCTGCAAACATCCTGAGTGTCTGCATATACTCATTAGAG